AACGGCGACAGCAACAGCAACAGCAGGGACGGGGAGAAGCATCGCAACCACAGCAAAATTCAACAAACATGATACGATGAACTAAGGGCACTCAGCAGCTATTCCAGACGTGGGGTGCGGATGGGTGCGCAAACAGGAAATGAGCACACTCGGAGAGTTAAGGCTTTTCGGATATTTTGGGGTTAGGCGGTTAGCGTTTGGAGATTGAACTTCTGCATCGCAACAAACGTCACGGACAGCATTGACAGTAGGTGAACGATAGGACGATAAGATGAGACAACGGGGATAAACCAAATAACTCGTCTCAACAGATGCAAAGCACTGTCGCAGGAAAGGGGTGACATATGCCAACCCGGGCTCCCCTCCGCGGTCCATGCCGTTGACGGTCCCGGACGCAGTTGGCAAATGGTGCAAGCGACTCGGATTGCGAAAGAGATGAAATGAGACATGACGTGATGTTTGAATGGGAAGCATCGAACATGAACTGTCAAGAACAGAAGTAGGAAGGTCGGCTTGTAATGTCCTGTCAGCAGATGACACATATATATATATGTATCACTTGCATGTTCCACTATTGTTCTTACCCTTTGTCAAAATGAGGGTTGAGGACGAGCCTGGGCTTTGAACACGTAGCTGAGATGTGGCGACTTCAGACTTTTGGCGTTGTGGGTAGGTGCCTAAATTAAATTTGTGGACATGGTTCTACATATAGAAATGTCGTGAAGTTGCGAGCAGCAGATGCTCGACAGTCCAGTCTTCTGGAGAGCTGCATGGGTGAGAAGAGCGACAGGAGCTTTTGCAGGAAGCCAAACAATCGTGGTCAAACGTCTCGTGGAGATGCTTCGAACCCTGTCTGGAAAACTCTACAACCCTTGCAGTAGCTCTGCTTGTACCCTGAATCCCAGACTTCAGTCACCTCCATGCCAAGGAAAGCCGAGCGACCGGCGTCATGCGTGCGTCTAGCAGAGGCACTGCAAACCTGGGAGTATCCTTGCGGTGTACCAAGGGCCTCTACAAGGGTTCTATGGGGAATTTTAAAGTTTGGGGCCGGGGCTTAAGGGGCGCCTCTAGGGGGTTGCATACTAACTACAGGCGATATATGTACTGATAGTGGGACTTTGGGGGTACAGTCCATTATACCTACTTGCGGTTGTATACGATGTGTAAGAAAAGGTCGCAAGATTCGGAGAAGTTATTTTCTTGTTTAGGCTGAGCGATCACGTTTATAGGGATAAAAACTGATGAACATGCAAAGTCGGTTGGGTGTCAATGCGGCCTGCGGTAAAGGCTTCAGGTTTCAGCAAGAAGTGATCGAGACATAAACTGTGGTCTTGTAAAAGTTGAAAGGTATGTCACTAATGTACTTCTACAAGTCTGATAAATAACCAAGAAGTTGCAAGCATCCTGACTGCAACATACTGCAACTACCGCATTAAGGGTACAGAGACGAACTCGACCAAGTGATCTCTGGCCATGCGAATTTTATGCAATAACATGACCAGGGCGATTGGGTCGGAGACATTCAGGGTTTGAACTGTTTCTTTATTTGTGGCAAAGCGCTCTGAATCCACACTGCTGCCTGATGTCCGCTGCACCTCTCTTCTCTTCCGCACTGGAACCTGTACTACATGCAACCTACATGCATGTCATCAGTGGCAGAATGTGCAAATCTTTGCGGCGAAAGACAACCAACCATACATGTTTCACCGAAGCCCTAGGAAACCTGAAGCTCCCAACCACAACCCTGTAAGCCCTAAACTCCACGAGGCTGGTCCCAGTGCGAAAGCATCAACCCCAAACTCTAGCCTTAGGCTATTCCAGACCCTCGCCCCGGAAGCTGAGCTGAAGACCCCAAGCTCCGCACCCGAAACCCGCCGAGCAACCCTAAACCTTACCTGGACCCTAAAGATCCTATCTTTTCAGGCTGATCTCTTTGTATAAAGTCCTTAAAACGGTAGGTTCTTCAGGGTCCAGGTCGGGTTTAGGTTAAGTGAGAATACCAACGTGTGAGTAAGGCCCTCGCTCGCCTGGAAAGCCGGGGTGCGCCGAAGCTTGGCACAAGCCGGAAGCTGAACCGAGAAGCCGTCGACTTACATATGAAACGGTTTAAGGTCTAGGGTGAGGGTTTATAAGGTTTAGGGTACTTATATGTGTATCAGGAGCTTGGTGGGTTCAAGGGCTTAGGCTTAGAGTTCGGTTGTCTATTGGGTTACTCTATTTTGGCTGAATAGGGTCAGATCGACGTGAGGAGGTTTGAAGGGTTTAGGGCTTCACTCTGTTTCAGATCTGGCAAGGTTGCGGTTGTTGCATGTTGTTGGCTTATGCTGGTGATTGGAATGCTACTTGCTGTTGTCAGTTCTAAACTATAGCTGTTCCTGGGTCCTATCTTGCAGCAAAAGAACCTACGGTATGACTCGTAGGAAAGGGACTTCCATGGACATCGTCAACTGCCGGTGGTGAAACAGCCCTAGGCCCGAGTCAAGTTCCATGGGTTCTCGAAGCAAACGCGAGCTGCATCCCGACTGCCAACCTAAGGAAACAAAGACCATTGAACCCAGGGCCTCAAAACCCTGAGGAACCACCCAAAGCCGAAAGAGAAACTTGTCCCCTACACCTTGAGCCCTTGTTCTTACTCGGATAAGTTCTACAAAGCCCAGGAAAGTGGTTGAGAGCGACAGCAGCTCAGACGAGGTGTCCGGATCAATCACGGCAGTGATTCTATGGTTGTCAGGGTTTAGGACAGGGGTTCGTCATGGTTCATGTTTCTTTTTTTTCTGGGATTTCGTGATGCATGGAACTGTTTGATGTTGTGTTAACGGCCGTTCGTTAGGTTTGGTTAGGCTTCGGTGGGTGGTTTAGGGCTTTGGGGATCTTTGGTTCTAGTTCAGCCAGGGTTTCGCTGCTTCTCGTGGTTGCACAAGCCCAGATGCAAGAAGGGAATAAGAAATGAGAGGCGCCTTGGAGTGCTCGGAGTTGTGTGGGCAGCAGGGTCTCAAATTGAGTCGGAGTGCGGCGTTTCGAGCAGAACATTACATCATTCTGCTTCGGCTCGCGCGCAGGCACAAGACCTTGGTCTGTGCACGTGCGTAGATTTATAACCTGGGTGTTTCGTAGAATTCCTGGTGTTTGGTGTGCATATCTTGGGTGCCTCAGGACGAGAGCTGACTTATGTCTTCGCTGACATCCGTTGGATGACGCCGGCGTGTATTTCGTTGGCTGGTAGAAGGAGTTTGGCAGCAGACAGGCGGAGGCAGATGAAGCAGACGAATTGCTGAAGAAGTGTATCCATCCGCTAGCTGCGAATCATCTAATGATCCGGATGTACTTCTAAATTAAAGATTCGCTTTTTGGTAGATATCCCTTCTACTCGGCCATACTCGGCCTGTCAGCTTCTATAGCGCATGTTAGCGGTGTCCCGGATCAAAGTCTAGACGGTGGCTCCTACCGCAAGCAGCATCTAAACCATTACGCCAAGGTATTCCGAAGAATGTGCTGAAATCGTTTCAGAGTAGCATGCGAACAACATGCAGTTTTGAAGCACGGGGCACCGGTAGAGAGGATAACCTTGGCCAGTGGGTCTCTGATCACATCTATGGTTGTTGCAAGGCATGTCCCTCGGCCGAACTTTTTGCAACAGCCAATGTGGCGGTTGATACTTGTTGTGGCTGCTTCCACCCACTGTAATTCAGGACAATTTGCCAACTGGCAGAACTAATCAGGCACTGCCCTGTCTTGCAAGGTTTCACATGGCCCTTCAGTGTTGAAGCCATCAGTGTACCATAGATTCAGACCCTGCGCCCCAAGCAGAAGTACATGCCACCACCACAAAAAGGAGGGAGTGTTGGAGTGCAGTGATTTTTCCTGGTACGTCAGAACCTTTTCATGGGCAAGTGTGTCGTTGCTGACGATACCACATGCCAAATTTAAGGTGTTGTCCCCGTGCAGTGTTTCAGCGTACTGTAGGCGTTTGGCTTGTGGCTTACGGCTCGCGGGCTTTGGATGAGCGGTTTAGGTGCTCACCGAGCCTTCATACACAGTGATCCGGCAGTGGATGGAGTATGAGGCGCACGAAGCCCTACTCCGATGGTTTCAGGCTGGCCTTCTGTAAACGCCGGAAAACTTCGCGAGACAATGGCACGGCTTGGAGAAGTCAAGCTCACCTGCTCTAGATTGCCTCGCCTGCAGATAGCTGCATGTAGTGACCAAGCTGTATTATGTGTTTGGTTGCAACAAACTCGTCTATCCAGTTATATATATATATATATAGGGATATATACACACGTGTATGCATGCATGCATGCATGTGCGTGAATAAGCCTCACTGTGTATAGTCGTGATGTATCCGTAGCTTCCGGTGGCAGACCATCCGGCAGTTGTGATGCGCTACCCGAGTCAATGCCCGCTTCTGTCAGTAATGCGGTCGGAATCCACCTACTCACCCGGGCTCTCCCCGATGTAAGGTCACTCCTGGTACAGAGTGCAAGAGTATCTCACCCTACTGCGCCCTGAGGCCATCATGCTGTCTTACCCGGCCCCACAACTCGCAACTGTTAAACCCCTGCAGGACGGTGAGAGCAAAGCCCCGGAGAAAGCGAAGCCGAACCAGGGCGATGCCAGTCCGGTCTCAGGCCCGTCGCCAAAGTTTAAACCCCGTAAGGACCTTGGAAGCCTCATTGCTTCGCCACTTCTTCTGCAAGTTCCTTTGTACGCGCGGTTTAGGGTTTAGGGTCCCTCAACCCTAAACCCGAAATCCTCCCACGAAAGCTTAGGGTCACTGGCACACACTGCCTTGACACCCCCCAACACCCCGTAGTCCAAGTCGGCATAGGTTTGAGACGGGCTCTTCATGGCCTGTGTTACATGTATTTCATGAACGCTAAACCCTGAACCCTAAGCCCTATAAGCCCTAACTTTCATGCAACTCCCGAGCCTGTCGGCCAGGACTGAAGCAGCTCGGGAATGTGGACGAGCTCCGAAAGCAGCTGGAGAAGGAACGACGCTTGGAGAAGCCTCAGGTTTGGGGGGCTCAGGCTTTAGGGACCTTTAGGGTTTGGGGTTTAGGGTTTAGGGTGTGTGGAGGGTTTAGGGTTTAGGGTGGAGGGTTTAGGGTTTATGGTTTGGGGTGGGTTTAAGGTTTAGGGTGAGTTTAGGGTTTAGGGTGGGTTTAGGGTTTAGGGAATGGGAGTGGCAGTGGGCACGCTCTGGCAGGCACGAATAACTGGTTCAAAAGGGTGTGAGGGGAAGTGCTTTGGAAGGTTTGCCAAGTAGGGTTTGGATTACATGGCGGGCTTAAGGATCTTTGGATTTGCAGGTCTGAGCATCAAGTCATAAAGTTTCAGAGGTGGTTTTCAGGTCTTCAGCCACACTGAACCTGAAATGCTTCGGACTTCGTGCAGCTGTGTGTGTATGTGTATATGTATGTATGTATGTATGTATGTATGTACGTATGTATGTATGTATGTATGTATGTATGTCTGTGTGTCTGTGTGTCTGTGTGTGTGTTTGTGCGCATCTATATTATGTGCAGATTCAATTGTTCGTCATGTATGAACTTTCTTCATGACACGTCGGCCCTAAGTGTCGCGACTTTCAGTGCAGCATGCAACAACCCAGAATGCTGCTGTAGGGGTGCGGGTGAACACCATGGCAACATTCACACACAGAATGCTATGACAGACGAAGTCATTCCAAATGTCTTGTGGCCCTTGGCCGCGCACGCAACTTAGATGAGCGTTGCCAGTGTTGGTGGTTTCCTCTTGTAGATTATGTAGATGGTCTGGTTGTTGATCATTTATGTCGCGGTCCACATGAAGCAAGCGGAAAGGCATTGTCAAGAATGCCTAGCCGGGGCCTAGCCTATCCTAGCTTCATTTTTGTGATTACAGTGCTTCGTACGACTACGAATAGGGCGAGACGATCAAGATGGCGAACTGAAAGCCATGCAGATGACTGTATTGCACCATGTGTACATCCCGGACTAAGGAAACCAGCTTCGGCTTTGGATCATCAAGGCCAAGCAGGAGTGGGAGGAGAAGCAGGATCATAAGGGTGGCTCGGACAGAAGTGCCGCCCGTGACTTCATCCAGAGAAAGCTGGTGAAGATCTGGGGTTTTGGGCCTAGGGCTAAGGGTTCGTAGGGTCTTAACCATGTGATAGGGTATATAGGGTTGAAAACAAAACATAATAGTGTCACACAGAGCTTTTTGTTTGTGAGAGCAAACCTTGCGAAATTGTTGCAGCTTGTGCCACAATTTGCTACAACTACAATGCAGATCGATCCTAACAAACAGACCCCGCAATCCTCAAGCCTAATCCCTGTCGGACCCTGAAGTCCCATCCCGAATCCAACGCAACAGTGACCTCAAATGCAACCCGTGGAAGCTTAACCTGCAAAGGACACCGTGGCGAAACCAACGACCAAGAGCCGTTGCCCTAGCCTTGCAGCTTGATCCTCTCGCAGTGCAGACGGGCAGCTGCGGAAGTTGCTTGGAATGCTTCGGGGGCTATCGAGGCCGAGTTGTGGCAGCCTCTGCCTCGAGGTACTACATCGCCTCCATCGGCGAGACGCTGGGTCCCAATCGGGACTACCAGGCGGAGGCCAGCATTGGAGCCATGGCAGCCTACACGCGCGAAGCACCATTAGGGCATTAGGGGTTCGGGTTTTTTTTGGTATGGAGTTGAAGAGCAAGCAACGTTACTTCCTCATAATATGGACCTTATCCCGGATATTGAGGCAAAGGATGCCATAGCCGATTTACACAGTGGCAGATTGTCTGCAGATTTCCCACGAAGATCAGCCAGAACTACGACTGAAGTACGCCGGAGAATCTGGCCCCCAAACATGATTTAGGTGTCATGAATACGCGTGTAGTGCACACTAACAGGTGAATGCTTATGTCGTTTCAACCCATTCTCCGCCTAGCAGAAATGCAGACAAGGAAAAGGCGTCTTCTCCAGCGTTTTCCGCTGCAAGCATCTGGGCAGAACTTATTCCACCCCCACATCGAGCCAGTACGGCCGGCTCCCGTGACTTGTCCTGTGTATCTTTTTCGTTTATGACCTCGCCCGCCTGTTCTGTTAGACATCTGACCTCCCATGGCAGAACAGAGAGCTAGTTCCCGCGTTCCCTTCGCAATGCCGTTGCGCCGGGTGCTGAGAAAGATCGGTGCCCGGTTGTGACGTAGCCAGTCTGAATCCAGGAGCAAACCGCACACTTTGCACAAGCCTATATTTACATGTGCTATTTCATCAACTACTAAGCCACTAAGCAATTAGCTTTCGTGACTGAAGTCTGCGGACACTTATATAGATCGCATCTTTAGAACTTCGGTAATTTTGAACTAAGCTACCATATGTATAAGAAGGAAGCCTTATCATTTATTGCTGTCACCTCTCATGGTAGCCCGCATGAAGTTCTGCAGCAAGATCGCGAAGAAGCCCCAAGATAAGCAAGACCTTTGCTGAACTCGCAGGCACGTTGGTACGAAGACCGACGTTGCTCTGAAGTTTGTACGGCGTGCTGCCTTCGTTAGTGGTCTGGGGTTCATGTTTTGGAGTCTAGTCTCATGTGTGGAGGGTTTGGGGCAAAACGATTCCCTGTTCGTGGGGGCGATTAATTGAAAGCTGAAAACTCGTGGAGCTAGGTTAACGTTTGAGCAGTTGTTTTGCTTGGAGAGATCGGGTGCCGGCTTGTTTGATGGCTGAAAACTAAACCCTAAGGCCTGCCTGACCGTTACATGATTTCCTGAAAAGAATCCTTAGAGATTTGTGCTGTAGTGGCAATAACCCCTATTGTCCTGGGTTTGTTGTGTGTCAGTGTTTGCTTCTGATTGTTGTGTTCAGGGTTTCGGTGCTCGCACTCGTGCAGCGGCCATCAGCTTTTGTTTGCTTGTTTGCAAGTTTATGACGATCTAGACTTCCAGTGTCTTGTCTCGATATATGTACACTGGGCGGCTGCGACAAGGAGTACGTATTTATTGCAGAAGAACTTTGTGCATAACCCCTCATGGGCATAGCGACGTCAGCTTGCTGTGCTTCAGGTTGGCAGCAGCATTTCCAGGTTTGCGCGATGCCTACAATCCCAATCCTCAAACCAAAATGCTACAAGCTTTGATCTTTGCAAACCCTACCTCCGAACCTGCCACCCCCAAGCTCAACAATGCCGAAGTACGATGACGAGAGCATGTAGTCTACTACCCTAAACTTACCCTCAACAGTAAAGTCTATGCAGCTTCGAAGTCTTCGTGGACCCAGGTCAAACAAAATGATGCGGAAGGCCGCAGAGAAGGAGGCGCAACGAGCCCTGAACTCCAAAAACCCGGAACACTGGCTTTTGCGTGTTGTGTAGGGGGTTGGAAGAGGTCCAGGGGTTCAGGACTTCAGGGTTTAATAATTTTGGGTTTATTTGTTTAGAGCTTCTGGGTTGAAGGTTTAGGGGTTTAGGGTTCAGGGCTGATAGGACGTATTGACTAAACCCGAGCACGCTCATTCCCGAACCTTAAGCTCTAGCGGTAAGCAATGCTAACCCTTCACGAGGCTCACTTACATCTCCTCAATCTGACAGCCTCTCCCTCCCCGAAAGTCAAAGAGACATCCCAAACTCGAAGCTTCACTTAACCTGAGCGCGGCAGAAAGACCTTTTGTTGCTTCAGCGGCGATCACTGCTTGCTTTCCTTGATGATGGCAGTACTGGCAAGCATATCGCAGCACTCAGGCTTTTGCAGCTATGCCGCTGCTTTCGACACGTTTGCTATTCACCAACCCCGGTACCGCACGTGGCAGTGTTTTGGAATTACATATGGTTTCAACGCCTTGTCTTCTAGACAGCCACGGAGCCTTCAACACTAAACCGGATGACCGAATGGATGCTCGCGTTGGAGCCGTGGGCTTTGAGGATTTTGGGACGTCTCCTGTTAAAGTCTTTGGACCTTTGGGCCAGGGCGGCTTAAGGTTGGAATGCGGGCAGAAGAAGAGGTCGTTGGGAAGCACCTAAGTTTTGGACAAAAAAATTGAGATAGGAATTCTTCATTCGACGCCCGTAACAGCCTGAATGACTAGCGGTGCTGAGTGATATGTAAGACCAACGAAACCTCCACCACCATGCCACCATCGCCGGCCTGAGTTGATTAGACTGCAACCCTAGCCTGAGGTGGGTGACAGCCGCCATGTTGATAATCGCTGTGTAAGCCAAATACTGCAAGCGGCACCGTCTTTAATCATGCGCGGTGTGTTCTGCGACTCCGAACCCGCTGCAGGTGGAGACTTATCGCAAGTTGGCCAAGGTGGCTGCAAAGGACAGACCCACGTCACTCAAAAAGCCTGTAAGTCTCTATCGATGTGCCTGTGCAGATCCCTCCCGCTTTCTGTCCCTTTTTCCCTATTTCCCCCTCTGTCTTTCTGTCTCGCTCTCGCTCTGTCTGTCTCTCTCTCTCTCTCTCTCTCTCTCTCTCCCTTCTATATTTCTATGTTTATATACTTTTCTGTTTTTATGTAACTAATTATACACGTTACTTGTTTTGAAAGTAAGTTATGCATATGCACCTAGACAAAGGGATGCAAACATAGATGCTTGCATCCACATGTGTTGAACTGGCTAGTTATAACTGCTTGTATGTACAGCATGGACAAGCAGCTAGACAGACAGAGACAATTAGGTGGGCGATAGGTAGGTATGTGGGTGGGTAGGAAAGGTAGGTAGGTAGGTAAGTAGGTAGGTAGGTAGGTAGGTAGGTAGGTAGGTAGGTAGGTAGTCAGACAGACGGATGAAGGATAGGTTGGTAGATCGACAGACGAATGTGTGCGTGTGTGGAGAGGGATGCCTATCGTGGAACTTAGAAGTGTGAGCACAGCATCGCGACTTGAGAAGGAGGTCTAAAACTGCTCGAAACTGCAACTATGTTTAGCCGAAGCTTCTTTCGGCGCCTGGCCTCCTCTTGCTAACTCATCCGAAATATAGGCTACGCATGCCTGCATTGCTTAGGTATGGACACGAACCGTAGATGTCGTAGCATGCCCATTTGTCCACTGAGTCGCACGTGCAACAGAAGGTCAGCATGTCCATGCCAGGAGGATCACGAGGGTGCGCAGTACATCATGCTGCTTCTCGGCTTTACCACAGCGGGGGCTGCTTCAACAAGAGACGATCTGGAGTCTGGAGCCTTTGTATATTTATGTATATGTATATGTATATGGACCGACAGCACCTGGCATGATGCACGTGCCGCAGCGGTGCCGCACCGGTCATGGACCTCATATCTACCATCATCTGCTCCCAGCTGTCCAGGTACGAAAAGTGTTAATGTTAGGTGCAGGTCAGGCATCAGGATTGAGACATTCGTTTGCGTAAAGCAGGCAACCACTATCAGTAGGAAGACAAGGTCCCTGGGCAACAGGAAGCTCTCAGACTGAGTGGATTATACAACATGCCCCGCCGCTCCAAAACCCTCAACCCTATGCCCTGAAAAGCTCAAGCCGTTTTTGCCCCTACGGGGGTCTCGAGATCCGTTGTTAGATGTCCTTCTGTGGCAGAGTACTGGCGTCAGCTACATCGGCTTCTCACGTGCCAAATTGAACCGCTTGAGCTGGATGTGGTCTTAACAGAGACACGGATACTCAAGGCGGTTTTTTCGGGCTGCACCAGCGAATTCGTTTTCGCACTTGGTTTTTGATGATGGACCCTGAGCTGCGAACGAAGATGAGCTCTTTTGGGCCGCGACGATGAATCCGAAGAGAGTCAATCAAAGAGGGCAGTGACGAGGAGTTCACTGCATCTGCATGCTTTGGGACAACGATGGTTATCAGGGTGTGGGTTGATGAACTCAACTCATCATGCCCGCATGCTTTGGGAACACGAACATAATGCGTATGCGTTCGGGAGCTGATGCGAGTGAGCTCCGGCTATTACAGCTCGATCGCTGATCTGACCAGTGCATGTTCGGCTGTACGAGAAAGCTGTGACGGGGTGACAGGTCTGAGCAAGCGAGCTGCAAACATCTCCAGCTCCACTGCATGCCTTGAATTTGGAATTTGTAGGCGAGTACCGGACGTGATCAATAATTTGCTGCATGAACTGAAGTATATACAAGTTTTATTCATTCGGAATTCCTCTGCATGCGCTTGCCCCACTGGCTTGGAATGACTGGAATTTACTTGCAAGCACCGGCCACATTGGCTTGGAATGTCTTTCTTTTGAGCGGTTCTTCTCGGCATGACGGTGGTAATTCAATGCAAAGTAGTGTGAAGATGTGCGAGAGTCCACGTGTTGCGGGTTTCGTAAACATGTGTGGCATCTTCCATGTGATGGTGGTGCTTCTCTATAATTGTACTTGGAAGGACATCACCCCTAGTTGCTTCAGAGTCGTTTTGAAGTGCGTGGTCGTCCATGCTAACCTTGCGTCCGTAGCTTGTTTTGTGTCCTGGTGATAGGTGCTTGATTGTCCTTATTTTTGATGTTTTTTCTGTCTGCCGGGTTATAACGCAAGCGCGGACCTTCTGCGGAGACCAACCTGGTGTTGTTGATGGAGCAATGCCTCCATGAACACGTGGGCTCAGGGCTGTCAGTTGTGAGTTTGCTTGCTCGCTTGGGCACGACAGCCTGCGTGTTCCGACTTGTGTGACGGACTTATGTGGAGCCTTGCCTGCTTGTGTGAGAGTGACAGACGAAAAGGCTCATGATAGCATAGTTGCTCGTCAGTTTGTTCTTATCATGGATCTTGGTTACTAGTTACTACACTGCACCCTAAAACCCAACATGGTCGCTTTGGTTTCATTTGTGTTAGGTTCTTACTTGTCATCATGTATGGCTTCTATACCCTGAACCCTAAACCCTCTACAGACCCTAAACAGCTCAAAGAAGCGGTCAGCATCATGTGAGAAACTTTAATCCGCATACCCGAAAGCCCCAAACCCCCGATGCCAAATTAATCCGCATACCCGAAAGCCCCAAACCCCCAAAGCCTAAAAGCCATGAGTCCTTACACCCTGAACCTCATGACCCCATAAGCAGATACACCTTGGAAGCCGCAGTCGTAGTTGTATTTAGTCGTAGTAGTAGTAGTAGTAGTAGTAATAGTAGTAGTAGTGGTTGTTGCTGTGCTCATGCAACAATGAAACAGCAGTCATAAAATTAAAAGGGCAGCATGATCTGAGGCTTGCGCCCCCGGAGACCTTTGAGCACCAAGGGCACTTGTGCCTCAGCGTACTTTCTGAACGTGGGTGAGGGCTCCAAGGGTGCAGGGTAAGAAGGGTTTTGGAGTTTAGGGTTTTCTGGAATCTGGTAAGTATTCTAAACTACCGGTTCTCGGAGGGTTTGCTATAACAGTTCTACAACAGTTACTGCAAAGTTACTAAACTTCTGCCTTTGAGCGCAGTTCAAGGGTTCAAGGTTTGGTGTTTGGGTTTCCTCATTTTGGGGTTTAGGGTTTAGGGAGTTGGGGTTTGGAATTCAAGGTTTATGGGCCATGTGTTTGTTGTTGAATTTTGCTTTAGAGGGTTCTACGTGCCACATTACCAAGTTTTTACATAAGTTACGAGCGTTTGGTCGTTTTATATAAGTACCAAGCTGAGGTCCTCGATGAGGTAGAACACCTCCCATTGGCGGATTCAGATTCAGGCTTGGTTGAGCATTTGCTCTAGATAGTCTTCAAGAAACCTTCAACCGTACACACCGACCCCCGTGAAGCTCAAAACCTGAAGCCCTAGGACCTGTACCCTTGTAGAAACCCCCCAACTAGTAACGCTCAAAGGAGGCTTTATATAGGACCACTTACATCACTCACGACCGGTCCGTCGAATGCTTTTGGCAGCCAAAGCACCAGGAGGGTCCGAAGCTCAGCCTACCGTATTGACCCCAAGAACTTTCAACTTTTCAGACTGGCAAACGTCGAGGGCATGTCGAGCGAGCAATTTTCGGCCGCCCGCACAAGAATCCGCAGTTTGCCTCAGAGCTTCGCCGATGAATGTTGTCCGCCACCAGCACCCGCTAATGTCTGGTGATGACCACCGAACAACGCATAGAGGCTCAGCACTAGGCCTGGCATGAGTTTCCCAACGTTTTTTTTCTGCAAGTTTGGCAGTTATGACTTGGACTGTGAACTGCTGGTTGATGTTCCGAAACACCGTGTCACAAGGTGCCTTGTCTTCGATCTGCTGAAGTGCGATCTACGGACGGCGCTCACCAAGATCCTCGGCTCAACTATCCCGGAAGTCCTCATGCCTGTGTTCCCCGTACCCCCAAGCAACAAGCAATGCATGCCGATTGTGTCCTTTGATTCGGACTGTGCTGAAACCAGGTATGGACAAGGGAAAGGTCTTCCTTTGCAGACGGTCGCGCAGTATGCCAGGCAGGTGTTTGTGCGAGTTCGATCAGACGGGAAGGTGAAGAAGCTCGCAGAAAGCCTAACCATAGGTTCAACCCTGTCGCGACTGCATGGCCCAAACCCTGCATCTTGCTGCGCGCTCGAGTGGATTGAGGATGCGGGATGCGACAGTGGCCTGCACCCTTAAGTGTATAACCTGTGGAGGCAACTGTTTCTGGCGCTACGGTGTCTTCGAAAAGTGAAGCTGATACACGGTCGGGATCCTAGCTGGATCATGGGATGATTTCGTCAAGCAATCCTGAAGCCAGCCGCAGCCCTAGAACCCCAAACGCTGAAACGCTCAGCATCAGATCAACGCCCTCCTCGGCCACCCTTAAGTAAAAGACAATCTGAATATTCACCCGTAGTAGTCCAACTACAGCAACTATAGCGTCGCACTTCGTCGAGCACGCTGCCCTCGGCTAATTTGTGGTTTGAAGCATGACAGACCTCCCGGGCACACTGAAATCACTTGACGTTTCAGTATGCAACATAGTATGCAACAGCCCGGAGCAGCCTGCAGTCCCTCGCCACACGAGGTGACTTGAAACCCGACAACGCCCCTCGGCTTTTTCCTGCGCTTGAATATGAGTTCAGGGCTAGATTAAGGGGATTTGGTGGTCATATCGATGCTTTACATGAGGGTGTGCTGCTGTGCTACAAGTGCTGTTACGAACATCAGCTTCCTGCAGCAGCCGTCAGCGGCCGTTCTGGGCTTAGCACTTCGTGGTTCCGTTGTCGCTGACGCTGTCAATATTCAGCAGCAACAGTTTCCAGCCGCATGCAATGCAAGGTGCTCATAACTCTGAGCAAGACGGAGATCAAGCTTTGTGATTTCGGCTCTGCTATGGACGTGGGCGAGGCGCTCGCCGGGTCGTAGTATAGCCATCAAAGGTCGGCATTGCCGAATGAGCCCCGCACATCCGCAACTCAAAGCTCGCGAGTGTTAGGTCGACATCCAACTCCTCATAACGTACCTGCGAACCACGACATGTCATGACATTGCAACCAGAGGGCCGGGAGCAGCAGAACCATTTACAGAATTCCTTGAACAAACCCATGAGAGCACCCAACCAACCCGCAACACGAGGGCCACCGGGCACGAGACGCTACGGGATCACCCTGATCCTTCAATACATTATCACCCAGCGCAAATGGAAACACAGTAATGCACCAAGGGCCATGCATGCCCTAATCCTCAAACCCCAAACCCTGTGCATACATACATGTATTCCTACAAAATTATACGGTTCATTGCCATATAGGACAAAATGGTGACCATGTATGTATGTATGTATATATGTATGTATGTATGTATGTACGTATGTATGTATGTATGTATGCATGGATGCAAATATGTATGTATGCATGGATGGATGTATGTATGTATGTATGCACGGATGGATGTATGTATGTATGTACGTATGTGTTGATCTGTGTATGTGTATATGTGTGTACGTGTGTATGTGTTTATGTGTGTATGTCTCTGTGTATACACACACAATTGGAGAAGCGTCGCAGGCAGTGAAGACGCCCTACCTGCAACCGCGCTACTACCGGGCCCCAGAGGTGATTCTCGGCATCGGGCGACATGGCACTCACTGAATGAGGCCTTAGGACATAGGACTCCTAGTTTCGGGGCTAAGAGGGCTTCGGTTCTAAATAGGTTCCGTTAAAGGGTTAATTACTACAGGTTACTATAAGGGTTCTTTGTTCTCGGTGACGCTTTGAAGAACTAGAACTAGTACTGGTGTCCCCTAGCAGTCTGGATATGATTCTTAAGATGCACCCAGATCCAGGCCCCTTCATTATCGGGTCAATGGGGGTGTACCTCATCAAGAGATCCAGCTGTTGTGGTCGACAGTGTTCTGCTCAACCCCAACACTCGCGCCTTAGGGTTTCTGAGGGTTTCTGGGTATGTTCTAGTGCAATTTGGCATCTGAAGGTCTTCGGCCGTGCCGACCGTGAGAGTCCAAAGCTTGAATCCCTTTTATCATAAAAAACCCTCAAGCAGCTCAAAATCCTCAAAGCACATCGAGTTCACAAGGATGTCAAAAATTGATTGGGGATTTACGCCGCTTCAAAAGGGACCCCGATTCAGGGATGGCTGTGATTCATCACACGAGGGTTTGGGAGCTTCGGACAATTTTTTCTGGGGCCCGAATGAAGTGGATCCTTAAGTCGCCGGAACAGTCGTAACATACGTTTCTCCCGCCGCAAATCCTAAACCCCAGAAGCCTATGGGCCTTAAATGGTTATATCCTAGAGCCCCGTAAATCTCGAGCCCTTGAGAGAAAGACAGGTATGATACGCAAATCGACCTCTGGAGTGTTGGTGTCACCCTTTTCGAGCTCAGCAGCAACCTGGCGCATGCTTTCAAAAGTTTAGGGCTTTTGGTTGAGGTTTTCTCGCAATCCAGGGTTTAGAGTTCAACGTGCGCGGGGTTTGAACTACAAGAGCTTTTGCTTGCGGACATCGGGTGTGTAGGAGATACTTCTTTACACTATGGACCTTGCAAGGTTTGGAGCTGTGCGCTGCGAAGGGGAGGCATACATACCATGAGATTCGCCGTATGATCTCGCAGATTAGGTGCCTTGCTTGCCCTGCTCGTGTGCCAATGTGTTTTGTTTGGACGCGAGTCCGTTGTCGTTGCAGGTAATATGGGGGTCTAAATAATTACCTATACTATTTTGGGGGTTCCTTATTATAACTATAGTATATTGGGCCTCAAAACCCTATTCTAATTATTAAGGCCCCTGTAGTATCATGGGCCCTGACTCTTGGGTTGCGCTGCCCTACTCGACAAACAGATTTCCTCCAAAAGGGATCTGTCGATTCATTCAGCGAGCCCGGTAACCCGTCGTGCGGGCTCAGACGCTTCGAACCGCCATCGTACACATGCAGGTGGCAAAATCCTCTTCACGGGGAAGTCGAACAACTCGATGGTGCGGCAGATGCTTGAGGCCATCTCTTTTCTTCGCTGGGATCTGCGCAGAAGTGGTGCGCATGAGATTCATTCAAAGTAAATCTGGTTCGGTCGCTGGTGGACTGCTGCGAGGTGCGGCAGCAGCCGCCGTTCAAAGGGTTGGGCCCCGAGCATAGCTTAGATGTACATAGGTTGAATCGTTCAACTGTGCATGCCCTGATCAGGGTTCAGGTAACTCCAGTCGGCCATTCTAGTTGGACCCTCCCATCTCTTAATTGTAGTAAATTAAGCAAAGATTCCACAGCAACCCCGGAGGATTTCGGTTAAACCACATGTCCGCACAAGGGCAAAATATTAAGCCAGGCAACCCCAAACCTCAAAATAACATACTCAGACGCCCTGCCCGGATTGCCCAAGCTGTGAGAGCCGGAAAGGCCCTAAACAGACCCGAAGCCCCCCTCCACCCCAACCTTGCGAGGTGTCGGGCGCATTTCCGAAGCGGCTGGCCACGAAAGGCGAGTTCCACGCGAAGCACTTCAACTCCGAAGGCCAGGTGTGGTCTTATAAAAACGGAATAAACCTATATATATATACACACATGTGTGTGTGTGTTTGTGTATGTGTAATTGGGTATGTGTATATATACATATATGTATGCATGC